AGGGGGCGGGCGGGGCGCCCGCTGCACGGTGACGTAAGAGCCGTGCCAAGGCGCGTTGCCCTGGAAACCACGTTTCCATCCCTGTGGTTTCCGGGGCCGCCTCTTCCCATTCATCTTTTTCGTTAATGGGGGAGGCGGCGGTTCAGGGCCAACCCCAACACTTGCGGCCCCAGTAGTCCCTGCTCTCCCTGGGCCTCAGTTTACCTTTCCGTGCCTCCTACTCCTGCATGGTCTGACCTCCCGCCGCTGCAACACCTCGGATGGGCACCCCTACCCGCACTTCCTGTAGGTGTCTGCACTGCGGCCCTCAGCCCCTAGGCGGGGTGGAGTCTTCTTAGGACCCCTGGGCAGGGCCGTGACTCTTGATTCCGGGGCTGCGCCCAGAGGAGTAAGTTCCGGGGCATCAGGGCAAGTGTTCCCCGCCCTGCATTGTGCATACACAACCCCGTGATTCAGCGTGTTCCTGATGGACACCTCCCTCTGCATCCCCCACCCAGCTCTGCGGTGGTCACAGCGCTAGGGCCTTACCCTCCCCCTCCCTCCGGCCGGATTGCGTAGGCGGGGGTTCCACCTGAACTGCCCCACCCACGCGTCCACCACCTGCGGGGGCGTTTGCTCCGTTGACACAGGTCTGAAGTGATCAGCCTGATCTGGACATCCTGATTCCTTTTTGCTGTGAGCGGGCAAAGATGATTTGGGGGTGAACAGACGGTGGGAGGGGCCCCAGTGTCTTCACAAGATGCCCCCAGGGTATTCCTGGGAGGGAACCTTTCCCTTCCTTCTGGGGTCCCGGGGAGCTGGGCCTTGGGAGGGCAGGAGCTTGGGCCATCAGAAATCAGCCAGGGAGGCCTGGCCAGATACCTGTGAGAACATCTTTTCACATACCAAGATTTCGGGTTAGATTCCTGGTTAGGGCACAAACAAGAATCAGTGAATGCATAAAATAATTTGAACTGATGTTTCTTTCTCCCTTCCTCTCTCTAAAAATCAAGAAATAGAAAATAATCAACCAATGAATGCATAAATAACTGGAACAACAAATCAATTTCCAATTCAAAAAATTGGCCAGGGATGGTAGTCACTAATTTCAGAAACACCGCCTGGACCAGTGTTTTCTCCTCTATGAAATGGGAGTTGTAATTATCTTAGGTAGCAGTACGTGTGAAATGAGGAAATCCATGTAAATGATTGTCCTGTGTCTGTCCAACCCCAAGTAGATGAAGGTGAGATCCCAGAGAAGTGGGAGACACAAACTGAGAAACTTCCCAGGCCAAGAGAGGGTTGTTCCTGGAGGCTGGATGCATGAAGGTCAGGGTTGGGGAGTGCTGGAATGCAAGGCCAGGGAGAGTTCACACTGGGTCTGGTGGCCTTGCACAACAGCCCCAGGCCCTGGGAATGGATTCCTTACTAGAGAGGGGGTGGGGAGTCTGGTGGTATCCTGGGAGGGAGCTCAAGTCTGGGGCCAACCAGAGCAGGGAATTGAGAGGGCCCCACACATCCCTACCCATGCCCTGGACTTCGGGCCTTGGGCACTGGTGGTGGCCTACCTGCCACTTCTCTGCAGGGGCAGCTTCCTGTTCACCTTCACCCTCAATCAGGGAGGGGGCCTGGGATGTTATGGGATCCACTCAGACCCAAGATGGTGGGAGACCCAGCATGCCACCCCATAAAAGCACCCCTCCCAGGCATGTAAGACCACTAGTTATCATGCTCTGGAACAGCCCTCCCTAGCCCCAGGGGAGCAGGAGGGACTTTCACTTGCGTCTTTTTATTACTTGAAATCATGGTGTTGGTGTAGGCCTTTTTTCATACAGGAAACTCACGAAAAGTGCAGGCACACCCCACAGCCAGACCTCAACCCCCAGGACTGGTAATGCTTTCTTCAGGGGCCGGGCATGGTGAGGGAGGGGCACCGGGCAAGGGTGGTTCCTGCCTGGGGCGTATAGACATTACTTAAAAATTGTTCAAAATAAAAGAGAACACACATTTAAATAGGTATCCAAGACAGTTTTTCAAAAACAAATCTGCCCCTCTTCTCTCCTTTTAGAAAAACAAAACAAATCTCTGACCCCTAACTTTCTGACCCCTCCTCCCCGCCCACCCCCCCCACAAAAAAAAATTTACAGAGCTACAGTTAACACATGATGTTCACATCTGAAACCATTAACTTGAAACACATATGGGGAAGGAGTGAGGACCTGGGGGAGCTCATCTACAAGTAGGACAAAAGGAGGGAGACAGGCAGGGGTGGGGTATCCTGCAGGACAGACAGGTGTGTGTGGGGGGAAGGCCCAGACATCTCCATTTATCAGTAAAAAAAAAATGAATGAAAAATAAACTCCACCCACATTGAAATGGCCCCAATTAAGGGGAGGTTCCTGTCCCTCTGCTCGGGGGCCGAAGACCCCTGGGGCATGGGCATGAGTGGGGAGGTTCCAAATTAGACCAGCAGCAACCCTCCCAAGGGGTTAATGCTACAGTGTAGCCCCTAACCATGAGATTCACAGCTCAGCACCCCCTCCCCTCCAGGTGGCAGGAGAGTCACCCCCAGACACAGTCCACAGGCCCAGGTCACTCAGGTTGGGCTGAGAAGTAGGGCTGGGGGCATCTCCCCGACCCCACAGCAATTTCTCTCCTGATTTTTCAAGAGATTCCCAACTACTATTGGCTCAGTCGGAAAATTAACAGCGTATAAATACCCAGAGCTCAGGAAACAAAAGATGAGGGGCTGGCGAGTGGCGTCGGAAGGGCGTCGCACAGTGCGTGGCCAGCAAAGGCAGGCAGCAAGTCTGTTCCCCTCCGTCCCTTCTCTGCCAGGAAAGGGTACTGACTACACCCAGACCCGCACTCCAAGGCAGGTTCTGGCCAGCCTCCCCTGAAACAGCTTTTCTTTTCCAGGAAAAAGAAACTAAGAAGAGAAAGTAGTACAGACGTGGAAGAGACAGCCCCTGGTTGGTGCAGCTGTGGGTCCTGTGAGGTGTTTGGAGCCCCGCGGGGCCCTGCTGGGTAGGCGGAGGCCAGAATTGGCAGTGGGGGTTCTCTTCTCTGTGGCCCCCTCCTGTCTGTAAAGTGCAAATGAGGCATCTACATTTTAGACTTAAACCTGAAGAGGGTGGGGGGGGGGGGGAGCATCAGAGCCGGCGGAAGGGGCGGGCTTCTTCCTCATTTCTGCTCTGAACCATCTGGACAGACTGCTACATATTTGGAGCTTGGGAAGGTGGGCAGGGAAGGACCCTGCGTGGCTGAGGGAGGGTGGGGGTACAGAGGAAGAGGTGGGGAGATGTGAGGCTGAACCGAGGAGGCAGGAACCCAAGGCCACGGAGGGTTTGGAAAACCATGGTAAGAAATGAAAATTTTAAAAAACCAGGACACTGGCTGAAGAGGGAGGGGCCTCCTGCAGTGCCCACTGCCTGCCCTCCTGAGCTGGGCGATGCTCTCAGCCACCCTGGGCAGGGGTGAGGGACAAGGTTTCTAGGCCACCACGAACTCTGACTTGATGTCGGGGTTAACTTCTGGCTTCCAGACAGATTCCTCGAAGTCAAGGCCCAAGCCCGCAGCCTCACTGGGGCTGCCACCACTGCCTCCGGGGCTGCTGTCGCTGCGGCCAGCCTTGCGGCTGGGTGGCCAGTGGTAGGGGCCTCGGGCATCCCTCCGGGCCTTTCTGCGGAGCCGTTTCTGCTGGAGCAGCAGCTGCAGGCGCTCCACCTTGCAGCGGGTGGCTCGGTTCTCCGTCTGCCGCAGCCGGTCCCCTGTAAAGGAAGCAATGACCATGACCCCCGGGGAGAGGCTGGACCCCCAGCAAATGCCCCCCAGCATTAGGCACAGTCCAGGGCCTCCTGGACACTAGTTCCATTGAGGGAGCTGATCAAGAGTATGCAGGGAATGAATCTCCAGCAGACTCCTGGGAGCTGTGGGTTTATTAAAACTTGTCTGAAAGTCCAGCACACCAGCTGTGAGCCCCGTGAGGGCAGGGCCGTGTCCAAGACAAGCACTCGAGACACAGTCACCGCATGAATTAACTGCAGCTCGAGCCCTTCCAGCTGCTTCTGTGACAGAGGAACTCGAGCTCTGGCCATGGTTTCCCCTTCGAGGCTTGGGCTGGGGGCCCACTGGGCAGAGTAGCATCACCAGTCTGCAAGACTCCAGATTTATAGGGTAAAAACAAGTTGGGGAACACGGGGCCATCGAGGAGGAGGGGAAGCCAGCCCCCCTCCCTTCGCCGGACTCGGCCATTCACAGAGGCTCCACCTGCCATCTGGAGAAAGTGCCCGAGGAGGATGTGAGGAGGAACCCCACTCCCCCTCGGGAGGCACAAGGACACTTTGTGTCCCCAACACACACTCCCTTCTCTTCAGGCTCTTTCAGAGCAGGCCGAACGGCAGCTGGTGCCTCCCCAGCCTGAGGTGGGTCAGCTGCTCTGAGCTGCACACAGAGGGGCCTTGAGCGGTGAGAATGGGTGGGGCGCCTTGGACACTCACCCGTGGGCTTGCCCAGGCGGGCCTGGCTCAGGGCGGCCGGGGCCGAGGCCACCAGCTTCTCGCAGGAGGTAGTTTTTGGGGTGAGGTCTGAGGCGGGAGAGGCAGGTGCACACTGGGCGTGGCAACGCAGTTGGGTCAGTGATGGGGGCATGCCCTGGTAGTGCCGCGTGGCACTCAGGAGGTCGTTGAGGATCTGCAGGATGGTGCCGATGTCCCGCCGTGGCCGCCCACTGCTGTCCTGGCAATTGGGGTGTAGCGTGCCTACAGGGGGCAGAGCGTCTTGGTGAATGCCCAAGGGATGGGACCCTGGGGGCAAGAATGACACAAAGACTCCCACCCACGCATGGGGACACACAAAGCCTGCTGTAGGGTCACGATCTGAGGGTGGGATGGTGAGTGTCCCACCCCTGAGGTGTGTGCATGTGACCACTGCTGGGACAACATAGAAGCCATGACACCTACCAGAGAAGGTCCCTGAGAAGACCCCTGGGGCGTGGTTCACGAAGCTCTCGATAATGGCACCAGGTTTTCGGGAACGGGAGGTGGGGCTGCCCCCAGGGGTGGATGTGGGGCTGGCCCGGGCACTGGCAGCAGGGGAACAGTCCATCTGCTGATAGAATAGGGGGATAAGGGTATAAGGGTATAGCTTAGGGTATAAGAAAAGGCCTTGGGGTTCAGGGTCCGGGACCACCCACCAGCCCAGGATCCAGTGATGGCCTTTGAAACATGCAGTAGGGGCTCTGAGTCCCTTCACCCCCTCCAAACAGCCCACTTGGGTTTGAAGGATAAGCCCTTCCCAGACTCACCTCGGGGCAGGTGGTGGGGGCTGAGTGGGAACGGAAGGAGCCGGCTGTTACAGGTGAGGGGGATGCAGGTGCAGGGCTGGTGGGCACTGGGGGGACACGGACAGTACTGGACACTGGTCGGCAGGGAGAGGACACAGGAGTGGTCATGCTGGGGTCCCCACGGGTGGCAGCCGTTGCAGCTGCCAGCACATGGCGGTGTTGTAGTGGGGCGTGCTGGGCCGCAAGTTGAAGCTGGACGAACATCATGTGGTCACCCACTCGAAGAGCCAAGGTCAGCGGTGAGCGGCCTGACAAGAAGTCACTGACCTGTGGAGAGTGGCCCGTCAACCCCAGGGTCCCAGCCCTAGGCGCCCAGCCCGTCCCGTCCCAGCCCCCCCACGCTGTGTGACCTGGGGCCTCTCGCCGCCCCTCTCTGGGCTCTGGGGTCCCTGTCGGTGCCACGGATGCTTAAATAAAATGAATCGGTATTTCCGGAAGCCGCCTCCGCCAGCCCGGCCCGGCCCGGGCGCCGCTGGGGGCTGTGGGGGACAGAGGCAGGTCAGACAGGGGGGCCTGGCCCTCCTTGGCCAGCTTGGTTCTTTTAAGGGGAAACTGAGGCCAGAGGGGGCGGGGCCTAGCCAGAGGTCACTGCCCTCAAATAACCCTCACCTTGTGCCTTTCCCCCACCCTCTCAAACCCCCAGATCCTCTCTGCCTATGATTATGAGAGACCTATCTCAGGCCCCCTCCCAGTTAAGCTACAGGGGTGGGCAGCAAGTGGGTGGAATTGCCGGACAAATTCTTCATCCTAACCTTTGCTTTCTCAAGATAAATATTTATCTGTCCTGGGCGGGGCGGAGGCTGAGAGAGAGGCGTCACTGTGGGAAGGGGCCCTGACTGGTTCCCTGGAGCCAGGGTCCCGCAGGGCCTCAACACAGCCCATGCAAACATGAACCTTCCAATTGGGGTCCCCCTTCACCGAGGGTGTGAGGTGCCTCTGACCCGTCTGCAGTGGGGCCTGGCTAGCACAGAACTGTCCCCAGGGGCCGGGCTGGGGTGGGTGCGGGGGGGAGGTTTCTGAGAAGTGACAGAGGCTGGATGACTCAGAACAACCGCCTCCCAGCTCTCCCCTGGCAGCGGCTGGCGTAACCTTCTCTGCTTGGGGGCCTTGGGGAGGAGGCGAGGGAGGCAGGCAGTGAGAAGCCCCCACCTCCCAGCCCAGTCTGCATGACCCTCCCCCACCCCCAGAAATGCCCCTTGCATAAAGGGCCTGGGGTAGCTCCCAAGAGCAGCTGGGTCACCCCCCCACACCCACTCCCTCCCGCAACTTCCTCCCTGGGGAGGGCAACCGGGCAGGCATGATGTGGTGCCAGGCAGGGAGCAGCCCTGGGAGCCCAGTCAATCCACCCAGCCCCCCTCCCTATCTCCCTCGCAGGCACCCCGGGGCGGATGTGAACCAAACACAAAGGGCCCCCCTGGCAACCACATCACCCCCCCAAGAGTAGGGAGCTCAGTTCACATCTGCCCCAGGAAATCAGGAGACACCCTGGGGCTCCCAGGACTCCTGTTCTTCCCCACCTGGCTGCCCCTCCTGATGGCAGACCACCCAGCTACTGCTCTCCCCCCTCTTCCACACTAGCCGGCTGGTGAGGGCAGGATGCTACATGTCGGGGAGGGGGCGAGGGCCTCAGGCAGGAGGAAGGGAAGCGGCTGAGCAGGTTTCCTGCGGCTGGCCAGCCCAGACAGGGAGGCCTAGAACCTGCCCACCCCCTCTAGGGGAGGGCAGCAGCCTGCTTCCCCCACCCTGGCAGCAGGCGGATAGCTGAGGCCTGTGTCACCCTCCTGGGAGGAGGCCCTGCCGCCAGAAAAATGAGAAAAGGAGGGGGGAAAGGCTGCAACAAAACCGGGAACCTGGGTGTGGGCCAGCCCAGGCCTCCCTCCTCATCTTCCTCCGGGCTGCTTACTAAATATTTTCCTAACATCCTGTGTTGGCCTCGCTGGGTGCCTGGTTGCCCCCACCCGGCCCCTCCCCTCCCCTTTTGGGGCAGAGAACAAAGGCCAGAAAGAGGAGGGGGAGGGGTGACTACCCACCCCTCACAATGGGGTCACGAAAGGCGGAAGGAGTGTCACCCAGGCCAGCCCCTCCCTCTCCCCACTAGCAGAAATTTTATAAAGGTCGCTCTGGGGAAACTTCAGTGGCCCTGGAGGGGGGGCACTCAGGGACACAGGCCCCGGGGGTGGGAGCCTGGGCTAAGGTCACCGCAGGCAGGCTTGTGAAAGCTGGGCCCCCATCCCCCATGGCAGCCACCGTGGGAGAAAGGCCCTCAAGGTCAGGTGGTGAGTGCTTGGGGGGAGGAGGAAGAGGAAGCTGGGTGACCAGGCCAAGCTGGCAAGAAGGCGGAGCAGCTCCAGTCCCCTCCCCACAGGCCTCCTCTGAACAGAAACAACCCCAGGCTCTCCAGAGGGGTTGGGCTCGGGGCCTGCTAGCCCCTGGGCGAGGAGGGGCGGCACTTGAGTCTCACCTGGGTCTCTGTTAAGCTCTCCAGAGCCTGCATCACAGACTGTTCTGGCCTTGAGGCCTGAGACTACAAAGAGAAGGAGGGGAAGAGACCCTGAGTATGCATTCTAGGTTGGGCACCTGGGCACAGGGGCTGGGAGGGCCCTGCTAGGTGGGGGGGAACCCAGACAGGTGTGAGGGGGACCATGCTGGCATGAAAGGGCGCTGCCCTCCCATGTTGGGGCCTCCTCAGCCATTTACCATGAGGCCCGCCTCCACGGTGGGCACGAGAGTCAGCTTGCTGCCATCCCCCACGCCGAACTCCTGCAGCTTCCCCGAACTGAGCCGGCTGGTGGGGTGGGGTGGGGAGGGGGAGGAAGGAAGAGGGTGAGGCTACAGCAGAGACCAGGCAGGGACGCGGAAGCAGACGCTGAGGGAGTGCTTGCTAGGGAGACAGAAGTCCTCCCACCCCCATCTCTACCTGGCCGCTAGACCCTGGGCCCTGAAAGTGGGGGCGAAGCTCACTATCTGGTCCTGGGACCCCAGGCTAGTGGTTCAGACCCCTTCTCTCAAGGAACCCCAACTCTGGAGTGGGGCACCCCCTTTGCACCTCAGCAAGACACTTTTTTTCCTTACCCGGGCCCCACTATGCCCTGTGACACCCTCCCAGCCACCCCAGGGCCAGCCCTGCCGGTAATTCACGAACTCCAGCCCTGGGCTCCTCTTTGTGGGGCCACAGGACGTAGCCTTCAGGGGTTTTGCCCGGCAGGGCTCCCCCTCCTCCCTCCTTCACTGGCGTAAGCAGCCGCCGTTCAGACAAAGGAGACCCTCCCCCTCTTGCCCCTCCCCCACCGAGGCCCCTCCGCTGGGGATGGACACAGCGAGTCCCCGGAGGCCAGCGGGAGGAGGGCTTCCCAGCCTGGAGGCGATTTAAATACCATGGGGGAGGGGGAGGGGGAGGCTGAGGGGAGCGCTCGTGGCGAGAACAAAGGGGGGCAGAGAGACGCAAGTGGAAGGAGACAGCCAGACGCACAGAGGCCTGCCGAGCAGATGCGGAAGCCGGCGGAGAAGCAGGCAGGGGAAGCGACAGCAGCGGCCCCCCTACCCCCGCAGATGGGAGCACCGCGCC